AGATATTTAGTACTAAATACATCTACGAAGGCCCTTTCGCTTATTTCTTCACAAATATTCTCACTCCAATCGATAAATTTTACAGATGTTGTACCCGTGAAAAATTTGTCTGCTATATACTTTAATTTACTGTTTCTCACATGAACTTCTTCAAGATTTTTTAAATCCGTTATAAATACATCATGCAATGATGTTAAATTTTCTTTATTATCTTGTATTATTATTTTTTTTAAATTTTTATTTAAAGTAAACAATTGTGATGGAAGATACCAGAATTTATTATTGGACAAATCAATTGTTTCTAAGTCCTCTAAATTTATAAAAATTTTTTTCAGTAAACTCGACAACAAATTCGATGATAGGTTCAAATATCGTAATGAATTTAATTTATCAAATATTCCCTCATCAAGTGTTTTTAATGAATTTCTTTCCAGATGTAGAGTTCTTAAATTCTGTAGATCATGAAATATACCAAAGGGAAGTTCTGTTATTCCATTTCCATGTAAATCAAGTTTCTCAAGATTCAAAGTTTCCTTAAAAGTATTTTTGCTTAAAACAAGAGAATTTTCAGACAAATCAAGACATCTCAAATTAGGAAAAATTGTAAAGAAATCAGATGATATATTAGTTAAACCGTTATAGGATAAAACTAATTCGGTCACATTTGAAAATCCTCGAAAATGTTCCTTTGTTAGACTTTCGCTAAGATTTCTATGAGACTGAAAGCTTAGTCTATTTATTTCTATTATTCCTAATTTTGTTGCAATATCTTTTAATGTAGTTTCTTCTGGTAACAGGCAATTTTCGAAATTAACTAAATCGACTTTATAGATGCTTTGTTCTTTCGTAAAATTAAAATCTTTCCAACTAATATTTTCACACTCGATCTGTTGAATTGTAATTTTATGTATTTAAAGATAATACAAATTTTATTTATTTAATTACGTATAATATATTATGTCTAGAGTGAAATTTGTATTTAACTGAATATAAATGAATTGAAAATCTACTAAGTAAGTACCTTAATCTTTGACCATGATTTAACGTTTATTCCAAACTGCACACCTTTGTTTGAAATGTAATAGGCATGTTTACTATTTTCATTTCTCGAGCATTCACAAAACGATTCTTTCTCGCATTCAGGATTATCAGCGAAAATATTTGTAAAGATAAGAAAAATAACCACGAAAATGATCTTAGGCATTGTTAGTTTCCAGTCTACTTTAAAAAAGAAAATAATTAGTATACTTAAATAAGAACGTTACTGGAATAATTAAAAAACAATTTTCCAATTCATTTCTTTACGGTATGCGGATTTTATAAAGGGAATTTGTGATGTAACTTTTCTTTTAGTTCTAATATATTCCAAATGTTCTTGTTTTTTTGTTTATGGTTTTTATGAACTCACCTACGATCGTTGATACAAAAATGTATTTGTTTAGTGATTTTGTTTAATTGCTGTATGATGTAGCTTCTTCTTCTAACTTTTCGATTGATGAATAAACATTAACAGTTAAACTAAGTCAATCTTTCAATAATCAAATTAAAATACAAATAAGGTCTCTTTGTTCCTTTCAATCCAAAATTTTAGGACAAAGTAACAATTATACAAACACTTATCTACTTCTATGTAAACTTAATGAATATTAGAGAATTAGAGAATTATTTATACATATATAAGTTGAAAAACATTTGAGAAAAACCATACTTAACGACTTTATGTGATAGTTAATATCACTGTTCATTGGTTTACAATTTGTAAACAACTTTTTATTTAAAAATC